AACTATATATTTGTTGCATGCAGAATGCTAATATAATAGTAAGTTCATGTTCTGTAAAAAATATTGTGACATTTGGAATGGGCTAGACTTGTTCTAACCTAGCCTAAAAGAAGGGGTCGAGCACGGCTCGACTAGTTTGGTCCCATCTCGGCTTACCCAACCTTTTTTGGGTTAAGTTCGACCCAGTTAACTAGGATGGCCTATCCCATGTATATTTATTGTATATATTTATTTATAATAATATATATTATAATATTAAAAAACAAAAAAATCCAAAAAAAATCATTTAAAAAAAATTGTAATTTTCTAAAATATTTTTCTACCAATTTTGTTACACTCTAAAATACAAATCCAATGTTAAAATACCCTGTTTTCTCTTAAATATTTTAAAATATTTTCAAAAAAATTTAAAAAACTTTTAAATTAATTTTCCCTTTCAAAAAACAAAAAAAACATTTTATTTTCATACATGCGGCCAAATCCTAAAAACATTTCAAGCATATTTTCATTAAAATATTGCATCTTTCTCATGTTTTGAAAATCCAAAAAATAGATATCATAACCATTTTATGATCATCTATCAGGGTTTGACCAAAATATGAAAAAACATTTTATCCAATTGTTTTTAGGGTCTAAATGTAAACTTTAATATTTATAGTGTGTAAAATTACTCGATAAAGTACATCCTTAGGTATTACAGATATAAAATGTAAAAATATGATACTAAAATTCATACTTTAAAAGTGTTAGGATTTAACTCGATTAGGTAGAGATTTTCTTATGAAAAGAGATCGACCTTGAACCTTAGAGAAACCAACAAATAGAAACTCGACCAAGAAAAACAATCAAACAACAATTCAGCTTATTTTAAGTAGGGTGTATTAAGGGTGATGCATCTTTTCCTTATATAATTAGTCACTTACCCAAACTCTCGTAAACCATTGATTCGTAGTAATTATAATATTAGGTGGCGACTCTTAAACATTAATCATAATTTTATGAATAAATATAACACCCCTTCCTAACAAACAACACCTCACACAAGAGGCAAGATAAGAGCCTCCTGCCATCTCAAGAGGACGTCGTGTCGGCGCTCACACCTTCACGACAATGTTAAAATTTATTTTCATCCAAGAAACACCTTAAAAACATACTAGAAATTACCCCTAAATCAATTCAAAACTACAAAATCAAACCAAAAAAATTACCTCTTCATCCCAAGCTTAATTTATTTTTTCAAGTTATATAAATGTCAAAAATCACCACTATCGAACTCTAGTTGTCAAATAAAACCCTCTGACATTTTTTATTCTTTAGTTTATCAATAAGTTTCTTTGTTTTTCTCTAACACGTGGATTGAAAAATAAATAAAATAAATTTTGATATAAAAATAAAAAGGCCTTAAAAGGATTCAATTTTTTTTCATAAAAAAGAGAGTCATGTGTTTTACCATTCATGAGAATATTGAAACATCATTAAAAAAAATAATCCTAACTCTAGTTGCTGACATTGAGGAAATGTTTTTCAAAATCATCGATCAAGAAAAATGTTATAACTTTCAATATTATTTTGGAAGTAATATAAACACCTTATTAGAGATTGATTGAAAAAAAAATATAGGTAAACAAAATATTTTAATACCTATGTTTTTGTTTTTTAATTAATGATAGTAAATATGTTAAGATTAGTTTACGTGTCAACCAAAACTTGTTTACGTTTACATACATTTCTCTCTCTTCCTTGAATATGTTTATTTCCCTAATTATTTTGATATTGTACCAATGCTACCTTTGTCTTGCAAAGATGGGCTTCCTCATTTTATTTAGCTATAGCATCTGCATTTATATATAAACGAATTGAAAGTTATATACCGCATACGGTGGGTTATGACTCGTAGTTCTTGACCCAGCAATTACCTTTCAATTTGGTATCATAGAGGCTAATCCTATGAAATTAATTTGAGGATCTACATCTGGAATCTTCTCCTTAATCAGTCAACCCTATAATTACTACTCCCGTTATATAAAAAAGATCCTAACTTTGAGAGACAGTAAGATGCTTTTGGATATATATATATCAGTGAAGTTAAAAATAGCAAAGTGCATGTTTCAAAAAGGATTCTTTAAGGAAGGATATGCAACAAAGACAAGGTGCAGCTAAACTAACGTAGATATATATATATATATATATATATATATAT